CACTGCCAGTTTACCCAATTGTATTTCGGCACCCCGGGTTGCCAGTTGGTGGGAAACACAGTGTAATTCATTTCAGTCATGGAAGCTGGCAAACGAAAGGGGTCAGAGCGGGAAATAGAACTTTCTTCCCATCCTAATTAGATATAGTATTTTACACCTCACAATGAATAACAGTCTACTTGATTACGTTTACAACTGGGCCGCCTCAATGTATGCGGGCCGACAAATGCGACCTCCGGAGGACGCAGCAGCAGCCTACGAAATGAGACGCAGATTCAGATTTATAAAAATACACATGAGGTGGTTTATAATTTGCAAACAATACAAATGTTGCAAACGTACACATTAGCTGATCAACTTAACTAAGTCCGTTGGTAAGACTCAATGATTTCCATCCTCAGGTGCGCTCCTTCCTGTTGGTGTCGTCAATCTGGCAACCTGCAATATGGTGGAATAGTCCCGCCTTCTAAATAAAAGAGCCAATCACTAATTGGTAAAGCCATGTGTCACTGCAGCTGCCGAAGCTCCGGTTGCAATAGAAAGACGTGCGCTTAGCGCCCTGTTTAAACTAGTGTGTTTTCGTTTTAAAACAGCGTTTTAAAATGAAAACAATCCTTGTCTACACTGGCGTTTACACTGCGTTTCAGAAACGTCTCCGTCCACACTACACAACCGAAAACGCATGTCACATGACCATTCATGCACACTGGGCATGCATGTAAAAGTGTAAACAGGAAGTTGGTTTCTAGTCACTGGCAGGTACAACAGTGAGCATGATGGCGAGGAAAAGTAAGAATGTCTTTGTTGCCGATTGGTCTAAGCACAGCTTGCCTCTTGCGCATGTAGGCAGCTGCTGTATTATAAAATAATGAATTTTTCTGCACAATGGCTGCTAAAAATGACAACAAAGCCAGGAAAGTTTGCAGTTTGGGCACCTGTCCCAAATTGCACCCTAAACCCTTGCGGTCTTCCTCAGAGTCCACACTTTCGTGGCGTAATGCCGCTTTGACTGTCGGGTAGAAGTCTGCTGCGGAGCTTGCCTCAGTGCGGGCTCTGCAGAATTGCACATCGAGGGTGCATAGCGGCCACAAAGGGGGTGCTGGCAAGCACCCTTCTGAAAGCTAAAATGATGAATGAGACACTCTCGGTGCATTTTCAAACGGGATATATCGCCCTCTGAAGGGCACTTCGGAGTGAAAACAATAATGGCCGCCATATTGAAGGGTCGTTCCAAACCGAAGTGCTCAAAACTGCCCACTTCAAAGGGCCCATCGGAATGAAGAATTTTGAAGGGTACAACTGATGGACACTTCAGGCCCCGTGATCCTTTGCACAGGGAAGTTGTTTTGGCGTCATTTACCGAAAAATGTATGCATAGTATTTCTCTATACTACTGTAATATTTATACGAGTTAGATTTGGTACATTGTTATGGTCAAAACGACATTGTACTTCAACAAAAATACTTTACAGCTACCTTTATCAGTCCATTCAAATATTTCAAATACATAGACACAATATACATTACAAATACATATTACATTACATACAAAAATATAGATTAATGTAAAAGATGATTGGGGGTCAACCAGCGTACAAAATGTGTGACGAAGGCGCCTCCTTAATTGTCTCGTTAAGGTGACGCAGAAGTGCGTTCCAAAAAAAGAGTTTTTTTGACCCCTACACCCTCAATCCCTTCAAAGCTCTCACTCCGGAGGGTAAACCCTTTGAAGGTATGATTAGGGCATAGGAATGAGCCCTTCCGAATGGAACGCAGGGCCTATGGCAGGGATGGGCAACTTTGATAGTGCCCTACGGTCTCGTGGACTTAACGGACACGCACATGCGGCGGCCATTGTAAATCCGCAAGACCGCAAGTGCATGTGAAGTGAGCAAATTGGAACAGGGCCTGTGATGTTTTGCCCTGAAGGTCACTTTGGTCACTTTTTAAATAAAGTAGATTTTCATTGGTCAGCATTGCAAATCTACGAGGGGAACTTTTTTGCATGATTCCTTTTCAAATGACTTTTTGCCAAAGGGACTTTGATTTTGCTCAAGCAACAGTAAATGTAAAAGTAAAAGCTTTAGAATGAGGTAATGAGATTTTCATAGTTTGCAGTTATACTCATACCTCTTACCAATCAATAATATTTTCAACTGTTAAAAGCAACACCATGTAACTTTTGCTCACGGTTCTCCCATATGGTTGATAAGCGCAATTGTCTGTTACCAGTGTCGTAAATACTGTCGCTGTATATAAGTTATATACGTTAATTCGTTGACTAAGCTGACTGATCTGGCGAATGGAGAAACCCCGTTTGGAAACCATGTCCACCGACCAGGTAAAGTAGCCCGTGTTACACTATATTCTACAAATATCATTACTTATTTTTATTTATTGTTACTCCAGAATTGAAAACTACAATGACAAAAAGAACGGTAGTATGTTTGCCTAGTTTTTTTTTGCTCGCATAGTTCGTATGTAGCATTGTTTGCAAAGGGTGTAATTTGTATAATAGAATAAAATGTTGTCCGCATAATGTAGCCATATGTCCATAGTAGCCTATACATCGGACACTGTCATACATTTATAAGGCTGTAAAATAACAGAGCCTCTTTATTTGAATAACCGTTCAGACGTGAAGTAGGCTCAGACATGAATGGATCATTTAAAGGGTTAGTTCACCCAAAAATGAAAATTAGGCCATAAATTACAAACCCTCAAGGCATCCTAGGTGTATATGACTTTCTTCTTTCAGACGAATCCAGTCGGAGTTATATTAAAAATGGTCTTTGATCTTTCAAGCTGTTTAATGCCACTCAGCGGGTGTTGTATTGCTTCAGTCCAAACGAAGTGAAATAAAAAGCGCCCCTACATTAAAAAAAAGTGTCTCACACGGCTCCGGGGGGTGAACAAAGGCCTCCTGTAGCGAATCGATGCGTTTTTGTAAGAAAAATAACCATATCAGAGTTATATTAAAAAATGTCCTGGCTCTTCCAAGCTTTATAATGACAGTGAATGGGTGTTGATATTCAATAGTCCAATAGAAGTCCAATAAAGTGTAACCATCCATCATAAAAAGTACTCCACACGGGGGTAAATAAAGTGAATTGAAGTGAAGTGAATTGTTGCTTTTTTGTAAGAAAAATAACCATATTTAAAACGTAATAATCAATTTAATCTAGGTTGCGCTCACTGTTGTACACAGAAGCAGTTCTGGGGGAGTGACGTATGAGGTCGGCTTTGTGCATGCGCTGCTCAGAAGTGACGCACGCGGAAACGCAGCAGAGAGATCACATCCACATTTGAACAGAGTGGACAGTGAAATCCTGTAAATACAGAGTGATAAGGAAGAAAATAAAAAATCATACCTGCTTTAAAACCCAGCAACACAACTGTAGCTGTGTAACTTTACAACAGCAAGGCTTATTTGATATCAAAACAAAAATTTAAAAAAT